CTAAATGAGGTATTGAAGTTGAATCCATAAGAGCATCCACAGTTGTTTGGGTATTTCACATGAGTGACTAAGTTTGACCACACAAAAGTAATAATATTTAATCGAGTGAGTTTTTCAAATAGTGGAAAAACTCACCCATGGAGTTCTACATGAAAAAACTATTAGATCAGTTTTTCCACTATTCAATATATCTATTATTAAAATGTTATTATTATTGTTGGTCAAACTTAGAATCTCATGTGAAAATACTCACTATTGAAGATGCTCTAAGTTATCTGACAGAGTTTTAATATGAAAGATATAAGGAGCTTGACGGTCATTGGAGTACGTAGGGTTTTGGTGAAATACGTTTTCAACAAGAGAGGAGCATGCGAGTTTTATAGCGATCCTTGAGCGAGGTCGTCTATGCCATGGGAGTGAGCATTGAATTGACTCTTTGCATTGATTGTGAATTGTTAAAGAGATTTTCTGGTACTGTAGATGGGAAGAGAAACCATCTACAAAGTAATTATGGTTTGGAAGATTTAGGTTAGTGAGGAAAGGTGAAAAGAATGGAATTTAGGCTGGGCCTTATAAAATTTATAGAAGAAGGACGTTAAAAAAAAAAAAAACCAACTTGTATTTAACAAAACTAACATTTATCGAATCCAAGAGCTATAGATACTACATTATCTACTTTTCTTTGTCGGCGAATAAGACTTTTAATATTATTATTTCGTTCTTGTTTAACTTGTAGAGATGATTTTCTTTGTGGAAAAGAGCATAAAATAAAACAATCTCCTTGTCCGTGGGATTGACAATTTTAGTATCTTACAGAAAAAAAAGAAGAATAGAAAAAACAAATTTAAGAATTGCATAAATTAATTTAAATCTACTGCGTGTTTATGAACAATGCACGAAACACCAAAAAATTGGGGGAAAAATGCGAGGAAAGCCAACTAAACTGGTAATCTAATCGGACCAGATGTACCAGTATGGTGCACTGACGATGTTCCTTCACCGTCACTGGCCCCAATTCTCGGCGATAGAACCGACGTATTTGTATTTCTCCACAGAAACGATGGGTTCCTAAGAAAAGCCCACCGATCTGCTCGTACCGAATCACCGGTTAGACTTGGTATCGCATTGGCTTTAATGCTACCTGTACCACCAAGCCTAATCGAGCCATCGTCCCGGTTCCGCCACAGAAACGATGGTGTTTTGCGGAAAACCCACCGGTCTGATCGAGCCCTTGACTGGTCCGCCGGTTTACCACTCCTCGAGCTCCCTCCCCTCGGTAGAACAAAAACACTATTTGACCGGTTCATCTTCCAATTCGCCATTATCTTCTTCCTTAAATCTTCCGGTAGTCTAAGCGTAAACCGCTCTGTATTTTCTCCCGGTAATACCACCGAATGACCCGTCGTGTGCGACCTCGAGAATTTGACACGTGTGGCACTCTCAGTGCCATCGAGTTCCGCCGCCGGTTCCGGAATCACCGATCGCTGCGCCTCGAGATCCGTTTCGGTTATTATCTCCGGTTCGACCACCGGTTCATCCGGTTTTTGTTCCGCGAGATTGGTCCTGCAAACCGGGCAAGTCACGTGACCTTCGAGCCACGCGCCGATGCAGTGAGTGTGGAACACGTGATCGCATTTAGGCAGCAAACGCAGCGTTTCGTCGTCTTCGAACTCGTTGAGGCAGATCGCGCACTCCAACGCACCTTTCCCGATCTTCTGCGTCTTCACTTCCGAGTACACGAGCGTCGGGAACGTCTCGATCGTGGACGCGTCGAGCCCACGCGCCACCGTGGCGTTCCTAACTCTCCTCCCTCCTCTTGCGGGGTTAACGCTGGCTTCCGTTGCGCCGGTGCAGTGGCGGATGTATACGGTGAAGAAGCCCATGAAGAAGAGAGATGCGATCACGACCACCACCACAACAGACAAAGCGGGGCTTAGCCTTCCGCCGTAACCATACGGGTCATGACTCGGGTCGGGTTGACTCGGTTGACCGGCCGCTAGCTCCGACCCGGATAATAGTAGAAACAAGAAAACAGTTGGTAAACAGGCGAGCAGATCCGTACGATGGGAGCTCTTCATGCTTTTGGAGACCCAAGAAGCACGGTTAATGGTTTGTTAATATCGAAATTGTTTAGTTTTTGTCTGGAATGAGAGGAGGTTTATAGAGAGAGATATTAAAAAAGTTTGAAAGTCTTGGAGAAGAAGAAAGGAGGAAATGAGTTAATGAAGGTGGCGGGACCAGTTTAGGGGATATGTCATAACCAAATCTGAGCGCCACGTGGACATAAAGAATTTTCCAATAGAGGAGGAGGAAGGTAGTGAAAGTCATAAGAGTTGGGTGACGATGCAGAGCTTTGACATGGTCATAATTCATCTACGTAACAACATGACATATATGAAAGGTATCTTCTTCTTTCTTTCTTTTTGTTGTAATATGGTCATTTTCATTTTTTTTTTTAACCCTTTCACCGGCAAGTTTCATTCATTCGTTGTTACATCTCTTAGAAATTTTCCATTTTGCTTTGTAAGAATTATAAATTTATTATAGTAAGCCGAAAATCCATGACAAATTTTTGGGATCATATACAAGTTGAATTTTGTGGGACATTGTTCGGGTAACGTTTTGGCGCTGAAGTTTTGGAGAACACAAGTAGATGACTCAATAGCTGAGATGTGGGTTTGGCTCGATTCTTTTCAAAGTTCCACTATACGGGTTCTTTTCTTCTACTTTCTGCCTCGGCAAAAACGTTGTTAATACATAATGTTCATGATAGGTTTTGGAAAGACGATATAGAAATTGTGTTCAAATATTCAATTTTCAAATATATTAAAACAATTTGATTGTTGGAGATGAGACAATTTGATTGGTGGAGAACTGAAAAAATGATAGATTTGTTAATATATATACATATATGCTCTAAACCCCATATATGCTCCTATTAAATATATCATTTACTGTTTCAAATATAAAAGTTTATGGATAATTGAAAAATGCTATTTTGGTTTGTCCATTTTCAAAAATGGCACTACAGGTTGTCTATTTACAAAAATATCACTAATTAAAGATTTTTAAATCTTAAATCTTAAAATATGTTTTGACCTCAAACAAACCCTAAACCCTCAAAAATAAACCGTAATACAACATAGTTTACCCAAACATAAATGATATATTAAATAATTGATTTTGAAAAATGACATTTTTGAAAAGTGACATTTCAAAAATGGCATTTCTAAAAAAACTATATTAGTTTTAAATGAGGGATAAAATTAGAATCGAGAGTAAAAAATCATCTTGAAAATGTAAAAAAATACACTATTTTTGAAACAATAAAACACACTTTTTGTAAGACGGAGGAAGTATGATAAAAATCGGCCAATCATCCAAAAAATTAACCAAACATGTATTTGCTAATTGTCTTAATTACTCTTTCAATTTTTGCAGTAACTTTTTTTTTCTTTAACAACCAATAATTTTTTTTTTTGTGATTGGTTTCGCGGTGAGTTGTATACAATAAAAAATTTGAATTAATTTTTGCAGTAACTCTAAATAAAGCTATTTACCCTACATATAAATAATCAGCTAATTTTCATCATTGTTAGGTACAAAGAAATTGGAAATCATTGATCACCAGAAACTCACAGTTTACTTCTTTAATTACCTTTACGACTTCCTATAACCAATTTTATCTGCTAAACTATTTGAATTTGGTACTAAACAAACTTCTCACAAATTTAAAAAATGGCCCAATGATTTTAAAGCAAAAGTAAAGAAAAAAATGAAACTTTAGGGTTGCCACCCAAGGGAAGACTCAAGAGACCATGACTTAGAAACATGAAAATGAAATGTGATAATGAGGACAAAAATACATAAATAATCAAACTTAAAAAAAAAACTTTATCTTTACTAATCTTTATTCTTAGACATCATTGTTTAGTTCTACTTTAATATTCAAATCCTTCTAGAAAGTAGATAGCCATCACAGCTTCATATGTTTATCGTGATCACTAGCTCAATTACGTTTTCTCTTTAGTTGATTTATATGACTTTTTCCCACTTTTCTTAAATCACAATTACAATATGTTAGTCAATTTAATATCGAAAACAAATCTATTTCATATCATCTTTCAATTTGAACTAAGCAACAGTAATGTTTCCAACACTAATTAAAAAAAAAACACGATGTAGCATGCTAATATAGAGTATTTAACAATGTAGCTTATTTTTGAATTTATTAACGAAATGTATTGACAAATGATCTTACTATCCTTCTGATCTAATGTGGTGACACAATAATTATGCCCGAATGTGTCAGCTTGTGTCAAAGTGAATAATAACGTACCATGTGAAATTGATATTTAAAAAAAAAATATTTCTCTTTTATCACTTTGTTCTCCCATCTAATTTTTGTTTGATCTATAATTTTTTATTTAAAATTTAAATTATTGTATCATCGATATATATAAAAAAACAAGATTTTTTTCTACATATGTTACAATTTGAAATTTTAGAAATTGACATATATTACACAAACTATTCATATAATGGTATAATGAAACGTACTCATATAAATGACATACCATATATATATTGATGATCACATTTTCTTATGTTTGTGACTACTCAAACTATTAATATAATCTGAAAATTAAACGTAGTATGGTATGCTATATACTAGGTATTCATATGATATAACATATTATATATCATACAAAATATCATATATTAACATGGTATGTCATATATTAACATGGTATGACATATTCTTGTATCATTTCGCATGTTATTTGAAATATAACATGTTATATATCATACAAAATATCATATAGTAACATTGTATGCCATATTATTGTTACGAACATAATATTCTTGTAACTTATAACATGTTATTTGAAATATAGCATGTTATATAACATATAACATGCCATATACTAATACGGCTTTGCCAATTTATAATTATATATATCATATGTTACGTTATGTTACATAACAGTAAACTTAGTAATATGTTTTGAATATTGTTTATAACATGATGAATATAATATTACACGTTATATGGTATATATCATGTTATATATTAGTATGGTATACCATGTTATATAGTAAAATAACACGCTATATGGTATATTACGTTTCATTTTAACATTATATAAATAATTTGAGTAATTTATGTCGATTTTTAAAATTTCAAATTGTAACATGTAAAAAAAATTCTTGTTTTTTTTACATATAGATTTTGAAATGATTCAGTCCTAATAATAAACATTATAGGTGTAGATATCAAAAAAGAGAAAAAATTGATGAAAAAGAAATTGATTAAAAAAATAAAAAAAACGTCAATGTTATATCTGTTTTATGGCAGATTGAACAGTTTGCTTTATGGTGTGTCAGAAGAACAAATTCGTCCAAAATTTTTTTCTCTTACCTATACAGCCTAAATAATTATCAAACAGCC